AGTGGCTTATAAGAGCTTGTCTGCGTGTTCTCTTGTGGCCTGGTTGGTCGCATTGAGATAATGTCAGGCGACCAGTTGACCCTCGAGATACAGCGGACAGTTGTTCCTTACGTAGGCGCGTGTGCGTTCGTGCGTGCGGTCTTAGGTCATTGTGTGTGGACAGTCATCGTCTGTATGTGGTAAGAGCTAACAGACAACGACATTTGGTTAAGCTCGACGCCTTAAGAAAGCCTCAAAATGTTGCTGGCACTTGGTCCGGCTGAAATCCTAACAATGCTTTTGGCCTCGCTGATATTAACTTAGTTAAAAATTTTGTTTACTCAGTAGACTGCCAGCATCTCTCATCCACGACCAATGTAACAATCCTCTGTGACTTCATGTCGGCAGTTTCAAATAGCCTCTTGAACTTTGTGCCAATAAAAATGTTAAGCCCTGCAATCTGGACGCCTCACTTTCTTTTTCTATTTCAGTATATATAAGGACGATAGGCAGAGCCTTTGAAAAGCCTATTTACAGATAGATGCTGTCAGATCATGCACGCATTTCAAAGCCATATATGCTCATTATATAAATCGTTGGTGGCTACTAAATGTATGACCAGGAAGTAAAGATAGATCAGGCCTTTTTTTAAATGCGTCGACGCTTTCAGCAAGAACAACTGAGGGAGGAAGTTTATTTCAGCCTTCAGTGACCCGGTGGGAGAAGAAGTTGGCCCACACATATAGTTTTGCATGGTATTTCTTTAGGGTGTATGGATTACCTCGGAGATGTGTCGTTTGTGCGAATTCAAAGAAATCAGCCAGCTGAAATGCACAGTCTACTCCCCTGACGAGTTTGAACATCATGACCATATCTCCTCTCTAGTGCCTATAATAGAGGGGAAAAAGATTGAGCCTATCTGGTCGGCCTTCATACGGTAGACCTCTTGAGCTGCTGACTAGTTTGGTCGCCCTTCTATGGACTTTCTTCATCCAGGAGCGCCACGCTTGGACGCAATAATCTTAACATCGGCCAAATGTATGTTCCAAAGACTCGTCCAAAAAGCTCCTCATCAAAAAAGAGGAAGGACCTTCTGATCGCTCCTAGGATGCCCATAGCCCTCTTGTGCAAGCGCTCCGAGTCATTTTGTAAGGTCTGTCCATCCTCCGAGTTGACTTCCAAATCTTTAGATCGTCTGCAAACATGATTTTCTCACAGGTGAAGCAGTCAAGGCAGTCGTTCACATATACCAGAAACAGAATGGGACCCAGAAAGCTTTCCTGCCGGTCCCCACTGGAAATTGTTTTTCATTTTGTTTTAGTGTCTCCAATACAAACACGCTGACGCCTGGCTATTAGAAAGTCGGCTAAACGTTTGAGTAGATTTCCAGTCACACCCATTTGATGCAGCTTTGCTATTTGTGATCTGTGTGTAACCTTGTCGAATGCCTCGCTGAAGTCAATGTAGATCGCATCGACCGACGAACCCATTTCCAATGGATGGAAATGGATGGATGT